TTGCTTGTTTTTGGTTGTAACCCATTCCGGTTTGGGTCTTTTTGGTTGATAGGGTTGACGAACTTTGCAGCGACTATGTTCCTACACAAAAAAACAAACTTTTGTTTCTTTCATTCGTAATAAATCTTTTTTCGCGGCTTAATTAAATTTTTCAGTGGCGATATCCTGTGCCAATTGTTGTTCTTCAGTGCTTAGTTGATTCCATGCAGTATCAAAATACTTGCACAAATGCAACATTGATTGATCTGTTTGTAACTGTTCCATCCATGTCCTTTAAAATGTAGACCCCGCGGCCTAAATGCCGGTGTATAATGTAAGGGCCTTCCCATGTAGGGCTCCACTTCCCAAAAGCTCGATCCTTAGAACCTAAAGGCAACACTGCTTTCCATACTCTGGTGCCAACATTAAAGTACTTATGTCAAACCAACTTGTTGTGAGCACGTATGATTCCAACCTTTTGGTAAATAATATGTGACATGGCAAAGTTTCGGTTATGGGATAAATTATCTTGATCAACCTGCATTGTTGTAGCATAGTCGGCTGAATCTAAAGGAAACTGTTGACGAATCCGAAGAGGGGGTAAAAGATGTTCAATGGGCAAAACATCATCATGTCCATAATGGAGTTGCCTATACAATTGTTAGGCGCTTGTCCGTGCAACAAAACATAGTTAGGCGCTTGTCTCCATATAGATATCGGAGTATGATGAGTTGGTTCCTACAAGAATTTTATGATTGGTGTATGCCAATCCTCTATTGTAGTAACGGTTGTAACAGAGAAATCCTCTTCTACTTGGTATCGAACATATGCCGAAGCGTCAAATTCTACAATGTCGTATGCAATATCTAGACCAAGGGGTGTTTTAAGATATCCTGAAGCTAATTGCGCCATGTCGTTGACGTCACAGTTGAATTCTCTCTCAACATTGTAAAATTCAATATGTTGGAAGTGAGATGCAAGGACATCGCCGACAGCTGCATACTTGACCATAATTTCGTAGTTTCTATCCATCAGCTTCTTCATCTGTCCAACCACTAAAGCAGAATCTCCAATAACTTTAGCATGAGTTGCATCATTGTATAACAATGTTTGTAGAGCATGGATCAAACCTTCATACTCCGCCTGATTATGTGTTGCACAGAAATTTAAACGAATCTGAGAATGCAACTTCTATTCTTGTGGAGAAGTTACTATTATCCCAGCACCACTACGTGTGAAAGTTCTGGATCTGTCGAAGTGTACCGTCTAGAGTGGTTCTTTTACATGGTGCACTTGAAATGACTCGAGAAACACATCATTCTAATCATCATTAAGTGAAGGATGCGCGGCTAAGAAATCTGCGAGTGCTTGTCCTTTTACTGCCGATTGGGGTACATGTTGAAATTGATACTCCATCAAGGCCACCCATTTTCCTATTTGGCCACTCATCATTGGTCGGTGACACATGTACCTGACGAGGTTGATCTTTCTGACGACACAAACTAAACCAGGCAACATATAGTGTCGTAACTTGGTCGCAACAAAATACAATGCCAAACACAGCTTTTCAATCGGAGGATATCTGCGTTCTGTGTCAATAAGCATACGAGTTAAGTAATAAATGGCTCTTTCGAATCCATCTTGGCCATCCTAAGCTAATAAGCACCCTAAGGGTTCTTCAGTTGCCGACAAGTAAAGTTTTAATGGCTTGCCCTTGATCGGTGCAACCATAACTAGGGGAGTGGTTAAAGCGAACTTGATATCATGAAACTCTTGCTGTTGCTCCTCTCTCCACACAAAATCTTTGGCTGTTTGAATCTTCAAAAGTGGAGAGAATGGCTTCAACTTCTTAGATAAGTTGGCAACGAATTGGCGAAGAAAATTAACCTTGCCGATTAGACTTTGTAATTCCTTCTTTGTCCTTGGAGGTCTAGCTTCAATAATTGCCTTGGCCTTTTCAACATCCACTTCAATGCCCCTGGAATGAACTAAAAATCCCAAGAATACTCCCAACGATACTGCAAAGGTGCATTTTAATGGGTTCAACTTCAACTGATATTTCCGCATACGCTCAAATTATTGATGCAAATGTTGCAGATGTTCTGAAAAGGAATGTGACTTCATGACCACATCATCTATATAAACCTCCAGAACCTTCCCAATAAGGTCATGGAAAATACAATTCATTGCCCGTTGATAGGTTGCTCCTGGATTTTTCAACCCGAATGGTATCACATTCCATTGAAATTTCCCTAAAGCCCCTAGTGCATGAAAAGCAGTCTTATGAACGTCCACAGGGGCTATAAAGATCTGATTATATCCTGCGTTGCCATCAACAAAGCTCATGACCAGAAAACCTGTCAACCCATCAATTAGCATTTCCGCGATTGGCATATGATATTCATCTTTTGGTGAAGCCAAATTGAGATTAAGGAAATCTGTACAAACTCTTGTTTTGCCGTTTTTCTTGATGACAGGGACCACATTGGATAACCACTCAACATATACCGCGACTTCGATGAAATCAACTGCCAATAGGCGCTCAATCTCTTCTTTAACTTTGATAACAATATCTTCTGAAAACCGTCGTGGTGGTTGTTTGAATGGCTTAAAACCTTTCCGCAAAGGGATACTGTGCTCTACTAAACCACGATCGAAGCTTGGCATCTCCGTGTAGTCCCATGCAAAACAATCACGGTATTGTTGCAGCAAAAAAATCAATTGTTTCTTTTCATTGGCTATCAAGGAAGAACTTATGTGAGTAGGCTTTTCCTCGCCTGATGAGTCTAGGTTTACTGCTTCGACTGGTTCTTTAGTAACAACTGCGTCATCACTTAATTTTGGAGTTGCAGTGGCTAATTCATTCAAATCTATCACATCACTGTCAGAAACCGGATCAACATCATAGATCACTTCATCCCAACATACTATAGGCGTATCAGCTTCCTGTCGGTGTTCATTTTCAAAATACTGCTATATATGCCGGATTGCTTCCTATTTCTCTTTCGACTTTAAGAGCTCAACATCTAAATCATCTGCACTCAAAACTCTTAACTGTTCAATTGTCTTCATTGGAAACTTCTTCGATAGTTGGTGCAGCTGGCAACGGCCTTAACACATTATAATTGTACGGCCTTTTGACTTCTTGACAAAGCAATTTCCACTCAGGAAGGTTCATGTCTCGACGCATAGTGACCTGCTTTGGCCGACCATACTTGTCCATACCTATAAGCCGATACGAACCCACTTCAGTATCGTAGTTATAAGCTTCCACATTATTGGCTTGTGCTGCGAAAGGGCTTGTATCGGCTGTGATGATCTCTGGACCCTCTGTTCCCCACAAAATAATCGCTTGATGTAGAGAGGAAGGGATGCATCTCGCCGAATGAATCCAATCTCGTCCCAGGAGAGCATTGTAAGAGGCTTTAGTGTCAACCACAAAGAACGCTGATACTACCATCTGCGATCCTCCCTCCACTTGTGGTGGGTTGTCAAACCAATAAAAATAAAAGAACCTACTCCTATGAAATTTAGTAGTATAGCAATGAGTAGGGTCGTCTCCTCAGGGAGCAAGGAAATGAAAATATTTCTAATCAAAAGTAAAGTAACCAAATGGACGAATTTTTGGATTATAACTAATGGATGACAAAAAATAACTGGCGAACAATAAAAGATAGCTTTGGAAAATCAATAATAAGAGAAACTCTAGTCAAAGGAATAATTTCTACCTTGATGTATCCAACTGATCATTGATGCAAAGATTAACTCAACAAATCATGAATGTATTAGTTATCGTTGTTGGAACCTCCTAACAACTCAATCTTTTTTATTAATTACCAGCAATTAAGAAACCTTCATTAACCACTCTATAGCCAAAAACACTACCTAGAACCTCCTAGGATTCAGTTTTCGACAAACAAAGACCCAACTCAATTTCTAACAAATAAACCTTGTTTCATTAAAAATTGATTATTTATTCTCACAACAAATAAACTACTTACCAAGTAATTATTTGCATTGTCTCTTCTAAGGAACAAACAAACCTTGTTGTTCAATAAATTAGATTATCTAGGAGAATTGAATGTTACCAGCTATTCAAATAATGCCATATAATCATCAATACACATAAAAGAGAATAAATAAATACTCAAAATTCGTTGGTGAAAAGCAAACAGTTAGATCTCACAATTGAATAACATCAAGACTTTAATAAAATCATTTAACTAGAAAAGAGGTTTAGCTACTAATCTTGAAAAAATTAATATTAAAAGAGTACGTAATTTAAGCTTACAGAGCTAGTCCTGGAGAAAACAGAGAGAAAAATTTGAAACTAGAGGCTCAGAGCCTCCCTATGCCTCCTACAATCTAACTCCCTCAAAATAATAAGAAAAAGACTATTTATATGCAACTTTATGGCATCCCCACATTCAGCCCGTTCAGAAATCGCAGCAACCAATTAAAGTTTTCAGAATTTGCAAATTGGCCCCTGAAGTTTGTAGAAATTACAAATTAACTCAAAAACTTTAGAAATTTTGCAATTTAGTCCCTGTTACAACGTGCCCACGCGGGAATACGAAATTGTTGCTGGAATTTCCTACTTTCTCCATTGATTTTGGCATATATTTTGTGTGCCCATGCGGGAATCAACCACTTCTTCTCCAAATTGAAACTTGATTCAATAAAACCTTCAAAATCTTTTCAAAATCAACACTTTTCTTCTTTTTGTTCCAAATCCTTCCTATGATCAAATTAAAAACCAAAGCACTAATATTAGCATAGATAATATTCAAAACAACACATAAACCACTACAAATATCATGCTAATATTAGCATTATCAACTTGCAATGGTAATGCCTTTGGTACTCGTGACATCTTCTGTGAATCTGCTCACAAAAACTTTGGTTGGCACTAGATCCTTTAACTGCTTACCTAATTTACTTAATACCCTTGACGGTAGAATATTTATAGCTGCGCCATTGTCCACTAATACTCTTCTCAACAGTATTCCATCCATGATGGCTCAAATGTACAATTGCCTGAGATGAGATGCAACATCTTCTGCTGGTTGAGATAGCATGATAACTTGATTCCTTCCTTCTTGTGAAAGCAACTGAATTCCACCGACTGTAGTATCATGTGGCCCCATTACAAAGGAAGTTGCTTCTGGAACTGCTACCCGGTGTGCAACAGTCTTGGAAACTAGGACTGCGCAGATGAAGGGGTTTGTAACAATATTTACCGGCGGGAAATAGATATATGACTTTCCCCACAAATGTGGTCGTCTTTCTTCTTGTCCAGAAAACCTAATTATGGCCATGTCTTGTTGAACTGGTGATTCAGTCTTTGCAAGTACTTTCTCCTTCTCTGATTCCACCCTTGCTTGCTTATTCATTACCTGTTGCCATCGACATTTTTGAGTTCTAATCATCCTTACTCCCGTCGACGCTTGATTAGGGAATTTTGGATGAGTTACATGAAGCCGTTTTCTTTCATGTATAGATGCTGTTCTAACTGCCCTTGGTGCAACGTTACTCAGTGGCACCAGCCTTTTAATCCGATGCCATACTAACGATTGGTGATCCTGATCATGATGTTGTTTATCAACCCTGCTAGTTACGTTAGGCTTCCCTAATTATTCCTGCACAGGTAATTGCCTTTGAGCTGGAGGAGTTACTTGCCGTCTTTCTGGATGTTGCGTATTCGCCTGACGATTTTGATTCAAAGAACTCAGAATGGCATATGATACAACCCTTAACTTCTCTTGTTCTGGATCTAACTGCGTCTCTTTCTGTACCCAAGTCTGCGTTTGCCCGTTTATCACAATGTTCACTTCTGTTGCAGCTAGGCACGGAATTTGTTGGTGTAGATGTCCTCCGAATTTAGACCCTAACTCATGAAACTGTTTTTTCACTCTACTAAAATCTTTATCGCAATCCTCACAGCCTGTATCAAACATGTATCGGAGATATGACTTCCGAATCCTATATCAACCATTCGGACTTAGTGCTGTTGCGGGAAGGGATTAGTATTCATTTCCACCGGATCCTCCACTATTACATTGCCATCATCTATCATCTTCTGAAGCATGTTATGGAAGACCATGCAATCATTTATAGTGTGAGTCCATGACATATGATATTTGCAATAGGTCTTTCCCACTACATCCGCTAGCTTTGGTAGTCGGTATCCTTTCTTGTACTGTATATGGCTTTTCTTAAACATATAATCAAAAATGGCCTCTTGTTGAGAGATGTCGAAGGAATAAACCCGTCCAATATTAGCTCCATCAGCTTGTCCTGGAGTTCCTGGTGGTGCTCCTACCGGTGGAGGAGTGTTGTAAGAATGTGGCACTACAGGTCGACGTAATGCGTCACAAATATAGTTTCGGACATTGACGATTTCAACAACATTTACATCATACTCATCATCGTCTTCATCTTGCACCCAATGGTTTTGATTTACTTCCGCTACCGAATTTTTGTTGAACCACTGCTTTGCCTTTCCCTGATTACCTTCTCGCATCTTCTTAGAATATCCGCCAAATGATTCAAAGATCGGACGGAATGCGGTGCAACAGCTAGCTTTACCTTGTAATCTTGAATTCTTGCGACAACCATTTTAACAATAGTTGGCTCTTCATATTTGTCAGGAATTTTGGCATACATTCAGCGGAATGGGATTAAGTATACCTCTGCAGTTTCCCCAAACTTTTGTCGGATCTCTGACAAATCAACAATTGCCAATTGTGCAGTATCCCTGCAGAAGTAGGAGAGAAATTCTCGTTGTTGAATGTCCCATGATGGAATGGACCCCGGTGTTAGTGATCAATACCAATCAAAAGCAGTCCGTTCTAAGGAATAAGGGAACAAACGCAACTTGATCAAAGCATTGTTGCTTACTGAACTATATTGCAATTCAAATAAACTTATGTAATCTTCGGGTCGTTCCTCATCTTCTCCAGAAAACTGTTAGAAATTAGGGATCTTAAAGTTTCTAGGCAGTGGTTCCCATTCAACAAAATCAAGATATGGTTTCCCTGGAACCTCTGGAATCTCTGTACCCAACTCTTTACGAACAATATCTTCTACCATCCTTGAAAATGTTTCCTCAGGATTTAAAGTTTGTTCAACTCCTACTTCAAAATCCTGTTGCAGATTAACATTTGCCATTACATCTGGTTGTTGTCGAAACTCATTACCAAGATCCAATCGGTGACGTCCACCTCTTTGACCCCAAAACCATTGTTGCTGGGGGTTATGTCGATTTTCAATATTCTGATTTCCATAAGGACGACCAGCAGCTTGTGCTCTATTTCTATTCAAAATCTGATTCGCTTCATATTCCATCCACTGTTGTTCTTACCTGTTATCTTCCACCGTTGGATGTGGTGGAACAATCTGCGGATTAGCAACTACAACGTCAGACCTTGGGGTATATGTGGATCAGCCAAATTTGCAGTTAAAGTGGTATTCCCTGATACTAGTGGCACAACTCGATTTTGATATAATATAAAACGGCGGTCATTACTTCCTTGTGTATTCTGACCAGCTCATTCTGAAGTCTCAATAGCAGGACCCTGATTAATTCCTACGCCAGTAGGACCTTGATTAGTTCCTGCGCCAGTAAGACCTTGAAGACCAGGTCCTGACGTTCCTTGTGGTCCATATGTTATTCGGGGAACACTTTCTTGCTCAGTTACTTGAGGCAGAACCATTTTTGATCCTTGTTGATCCTGCACTGGCGGAGTTTGGTGTTGAAATGCCGTGTTCTGCAACTGGGATTGATTTGTTGCCGGTGCATTCCTGGCAACATTACTTCCTGTTGCAGTTCCCGAATGCTGTGTCTTTGGACTTGTTGGCCATGGCACTTGATAACCTTGATAAGGCATATGCTGCCACCATGGTGTTCCAAGAATCATTAGATGTCCGTTATACTGGGCAGATAACGGAGGTAATTGACACCTATCAAACGTGAAATTCCCAGGTGGTGAGATAAACACGGGTTGACTTGGAACCATTGGATAGTACCAACTGTGCATTCCATCTCCTGCCATATTTGCAACAACTTGTAAACCATTATTGTTTGATCTTGTTCCAACATGCTGTACCGGAGTATCTGTTGCAGATGGTTGAAATATGACATTGTACAATGGATTGTTTACCATATTAACTAGAGGTACTTCCACATGTGCTGTTCCTGTAGCTTTACTGTTTCCCGTTACTGTCGATCCACTAGAACCAGCACCCCCTGAATTTGCGCTCTGATCGGTTATCCTCTGGAAAGCGTTTTCAAACCGTTCTACTTGTGCAACCATATTGTGTTCTATTGCCATAAACCTTTGATGAATCATTCCTAGAGTCATCGGTGGAGTCTGATCCATTTGGCCTTGGTTATGAAATACTGGAGCCTGGAATAATAGGCTTTGAAACCCGGAGTCTGAAAATCCGGACTTCTGTAAAACCCGAAATAACTAGATCTCTCTGCAAAAAGACTTGATCTAGCACTATACTGTTGCTTGCTAGTCTGTCGTCCTACAACGGTAGACTGATCGGTTATAACGGTTGAGTATGAATCTATTGCCGAAACATACAGAGACGTATTTATCAGCAAAAAACTCCCACCTGGCGCAGAAGTCTGAGTCGGCATTGATACTTGTCCTGCCAATAGTATTGCTGTTGAAGACTAAGGCATCGACATTGTTCTTTGGTTCAAACAATGACTGGAACACGCAAATCAGTCCCACTGGGCGTGTCAAATTTTATGTTTGAGTCAAAATTGAATTTGAAAGAGAAGACTGACTCGGCTCAAACTAATTTCAAACAATTGTGTGATATTCTCGAAATCCGAAGTCCAACCTTTAAAAATTGGCTAGAGATGTCAACGGCTTCAGCTCGTAACAAGATTGAATGTCCAAGTATTTGATGATGTAGTAATGATTAATTTCGAGAAAATGATTAAAACGGCCACTCAAGGCCAGCTCTATTGATTTGATGGAAACGAATCGGCTATGAGAAGCCAAAAACGTCGAAAGATCAATAAAATCAATACTGAATAGTAAATGAATATATGAAAACTTAAAGAAAATAAATACTGAAAAGCTATAAAGAAAGACTAGAAAATATGATTTGTTGTATGATGAATTGTGTGTGTTCTGCCGTCTCTCTTTTTTAGCTTTTATAAAAGATCCGCCAACCCTAGTTGGAATGCAACCGAAGTTGAATCCAGTGAGGACTTCTGTTGTGGTTGAAATCCTTCTTTGCTAAGGACTATGATGTTGACGATTCCTTCTCCAATTCAAATTTTCGCCCGATGCTTCTTCTTTGAGCCTTAATGATCTCCTTGCAGGCTTAATGATTTTATTTCCTCCCATTATTGTTGCTACAATCGGCCCAACTCATGTGGACCAGATTTGCCAAAATCTATCCAATAAAAGTTCTTCTATCTCTCTCTTCTTTTCTTTTTTTTTTTCACTCGTTTTATTAGTGCGTGTTGAGTCCCAAAATCAGAATGGAGGGAAAATTTGCTCATTATTTAATGTCAGCTTAGTCTTGTATGCTTTCAGACTATTTGTCGTGACTCACAAGGGATTACTTTGTTTTTTCTTTCTATTTTTTTTCTTGGGGGTTGGGGAATCATACTCGCCTTAACACATGATATATATATGTATATATATAGTATATCTATTTGACATTTCAATTTTAATCTTTAAATAAAACTGACTAGACATCCATCGGATGAAGTTATGGTAGTATTGCTTAATCATTTTGGTTAATACTCCCTCCGTCCCATAATTATTGTTCAGTTTGAGTTTTTATTTCTAATTCAAATTGTACTAAAAGTGATATCTCAAACTGGACAATAATTTTAGGACAAAGGGAGTAAAATTTATTCAGGATATTAACCATCCCTTACCCTTTGGACGTGGTTATAGAGCCCCCATGAAGTCACCGAATTTTGACATTTGTGGACATTCACGGTTATTTCCTTTTGGTGACAAGGTAATCGTCCATGTGTAAAAAATTTGTCCAAATAACTGAAATCGTAGAGGAGGTTTCTAGGGAAATGAAACGCGCCTAATACCGAGAATTTGAGAAGATATACAAGTTTGTGGTACACTTTATGCTTTTGAAAATTTAGTAAAAACATTTAGACTTCAAATGTTTATTTTGGTGTTACAAAAGATTAACTAGTGGTCAAAATTCAGTTCGATTTGTAACGACACACTATTTATTACAACAGGTCCTTTGGGATACACGTTGGCTGTACTAAAGACGTGATCTCTTTATATCCTACACAAAGTTGGAATATTATCAACTAGTAATTAGAAAATCACAAAATTTCAAACACAAAAAACAAATTCAGACCATGGTTTGAAAAATAACACATTGTGCACATACACAAGAAAGTGAACAATTATAGCAAAGTAACAATCCAATATTATTAATCCAATAGTCACATTTCGCCTTGGATAATTAACACTCAATAGGGTTAACTTTAAGCATGCTACCCATATATAGTATTGCTTCGCTCACATCTTCTACTATTAGAAGCAGGAATGGTTGATCAGCGACAACATCTAGTATCTCCTTAGTCTTATGAACTCTTGAAATGACCAATGGATCAACAGTTTCCACTGTTTTTTCTTCACTAACATCGTTGAACGATTCAGCTTCGGATCCTTCTTCCTTAACATCTATGTAAGATTCCTGGAAAATGTTGATCCTTTCGGAAGAATGGAAAACTGTGCGTCGATCAGTTGTAATCCTCACAACTTCAAACCTTGATGAGACCATGAACTTTGGAATGAGGAAATCACCAACTTCAACTTTTTCACGCGGCGAATAATGCTGTAAAAATCTAGGTTTCGAGGTAATTTTTCTCAACAAATCCAAAACTCCATTATTGGCACTTGGAAGGTACAAGTACATGGAAAAACGTCGATGAATGTGCATGCCACGTTTGTAAGGAATGCGTAACACTTTAAAACCATCGTAGGTTTTCACAAATTGACGGTTCTTGCTGGTCATGAACGGAGCTTTTACCGTGTTACCGTTTAGAAGGTGAAATTCACGCTCTTTTTGTCTTTGATGCTTCAAACTTATCTTCCCAATCTCCTTTGAAATACAAAACATTCATGAGCAACAATGTTAGGTTATCAACGGCGCCGGGAGGAAGAATGGCTTTGATGAAGCCATTTGTTTCTTTTTGAGCCCATTCATTCACTTCATTGATCACTTGATCTGGCTTGTTTTTGAAATCAGATATCTTGGGATAAGCTTCGTAAGAAAGGGCAAGGACATTGTCCTAATCGTGATCAAAGCGAATGGAACGGCCGATCCAAACTCCGTTAGCACACGACACAAGAGGGCCGCCGAAAGGGTTACCGTCAGCTAGGGTTGAAGTCAGCAAGTAAGCAGCGGAAGAATTCAAATCCTCAATGGACTTCACTTTAGGAAAGAGAGAAACCATTGTTGAGTTTTCCTTTCGACCCGGCTGCAATCATCCCCAACATAACATGGAGGGACAACAGCGAGAATACGAAATTCGCGTCATTTTTGGCCCTCGAGCCGATCATCGGATTTGCATATTTTAGGAAAACGTCATTAGAGTTGTGAATCGAGGAACTTTGATCCTCAAGTGTTTGCTTATGGCAAAGATGTGGTAGAAAGCAACCTTTCATACTTCCAATTGATTGAGGTTTTTGATTCCTGTTTGTGTTTCTTGCTTTTGTGCGATATGAAACTTGTGTTTGAAATGTTAACGTTTGTAGGATCGTGATCCTACATAGGATCGAAACAAGGTTATAGGATCGGATCGTAAATGGGATCGGTAGTATCGGAATAGTATGATTGTAAAATTAATTATATATGTTATATAACTAATTATTTTGGTAATTAGGTTTCAATTATCTTTACATAAAGTATTTAACATTTCAACAAAAAAAATGTATAAATTCATTTTTCTTATATGAATTTTTTCATAAATTTTTAATAAAAAATCTTCTCTTATAGTTCTTGTTTTCGTATTATTAGAAAAACTTTCTAAAATATAGTTTTTTTAGCAATAAAACTTTTCTCAAAGAATATTAGCCTCAATTGAATGTGAACCAAAAGAAATAAGAGAAAAGAAAAATCTCAATAAGCTCAATTAATTTTTTGCAATTGATGAATAGTAAACTCGGACCGATCCTACGATCCTGACCGATCCTGTACGATCCTGACCGATCCTGACCGATCCCACTCTGATCCTACTGCAAAATTCGAGTTTGATCGATTCAGGATCGATTTAAGTTCTCGAGATCGTAGGATTGGATGATCCTATGATCTAGGATTGTGAGTTTGCAAACTATGAATGTTACTACAATCTCTATTTATAGTGATTCAACTGATCATGTATCCAATTACGAACAATAAGAGAACACTAAAACCCCCATTTACATGACTGAATAGAATTAACCCTTTTTTTGGGTGTGAAAAATAATCTTATTTTAAACAAATCACAATCATAGTAGAATTAGTTCAATGGGATATTTTGTTATATATTTCCCGCAGTTGAACTTGAAGAAACCCTGTATGTATATATATTTTTAATTATTAGCTATATGCTATGTTTTTTCTTGCAGGAATAAGTTTGATTTCGTATCTATCTTTAATATTTAAATTTTTACTCATTTGCTTACTTTTAATTTTCACTTTTAAGTTTAACCTAAAGAATACATGATATAGAACTGAAAAAAGAACTACTAGAAAAATGCATAGTAGAGACACTTTAAAATGTCTTAATACATTCACTATAAAGACACATGCACCTAAAGGCACTTAACAAGTGTTATAACAAATAATCTTTGAAGACACTTTTAGACTTGCCAAGAAAAATAATACAGGCACTTCAAATGTCCTTACTGGTTAGTTTTCACATCATATAAGTTTTGCACCTCCACTTTTTTTTTCCAATTCTCCCCGTAATTGCTTTCTAAAAAATTAAAATATTTTCAGTAAAAATAAATTTTTCATTTCCTAAGTCAAAGAAGAAGAGGGTACAATATCCAAACAAAGTGTTACAAAGGAATAAGAAAAACACTTTAGATAGCAACATTTCATTCTGCACTTATTCTACTACTACTATCTAGTATATCTATACTATTTTGTACAATATAAAACTAAGAACGCATGATCTTGAACTAGATGCCAAAAATATGTCGAATCTCCCAAGAGAACAGTGTTTTCTCATTTGTATCATTCACTTCACATAACATCCAAATTAACTCCTCCCGGACTGAAGATTTCCTCCTATTTCATTTAGAATGAAAGAAAAAGTTGACAACATCATGTCATTCCCTTCTCCCTTTTAAGTAAAGGCTGAAAAAGTTTTTGAGTAGATCAAAGGCTAAAAGAAAAACATGTGAATGGATATCAAACTTAATAAAGATTGGAGATTACTAAATGAACACCAAACTTATACTCTAAATCAAAATCTGACCAACATACCTACAAAAACAATGTTATAGTTCAGAAGGAAATCCATGTCGAATCTTCAAGTTAATTGAACATCTAGCATCGATATGATGTCAATTAAAATAAAACAAATGGTCCAATAAGCCAAAAGGATCTTTAATTTCACTATAACAGAGGGAATTTCAGAACTTTGATAACGAAAAGTTCTAATATAAGAGGCGTACTTGGCTACTTTCAAGAACTAATGCATAATGAAGAAAAAATCATCAACGTTGTCTCCAAGCATCAACAACAGTAGACTTTAGATTAGAAAAGACATCTAATGCATTTTCTTATATATACCTATTCGAATCAGCCTCAAATTTCTAGTAATAAGGGGCTGCCTAATTTTTCAAGGAGAAAATCAAAATGGTAATGAATTAAAAACCTTCAGATCTACAAGAAATCCCTTACACTAATTTGCGAAAGTCAAAGAAATTTAAGATCCCGCATCACCAATTGAATCTTGGAAATGAATTTTTAAACCCTAGCTTTACCAAATTTACCGAGGGAATTCCTTGGATAGAAAATTGAATCGGCGCTAATTTCACCTTCTAGTTCTTATGCACAGCTTTGCCTCAATGACAATTTCTCCTCCAAGATTGTTATCCACAGTATCCATGCCTAATTCCTCCGCCGAAACGACCTCTGCCTCAATGGATGAAAAACATGTTGCACCTTAGAAGTCGGGCATCCTGCCTACAAGGATTCAAAGACTACGGCCAAATCCAAAAACCGACTACTAGGTAGAGTTTTTCTTTTTCTTTTTCTTTTTCTTGACCCAAAAAAATCGGCATGACATTAATGGGGGTAAATACCCCAAAACAGCTTTTTTTCTGGATTTTTATTAGAAGAAAATGTCATAAAAGTTGAGCGCCATTAGAAGTAATTTATAATGAAAATTTCAAATAAGTGTCCTTAATGCTTTGGAGTGCTATGTAGTAATAGGCCCCTTTTCTAGTACTAGATTAGAGAAAAGAAACGGAACATTTTGAGTTACAATATATTGATTGATTGCTTTGAACACAATAATAAGTTAATACAACTTTTTTTGTTTGATGAATAAAACCGGTATTTAAGTACAATTGTCGATGCCGAAATACGATTGACAAAAGTAATGCTATTATGAAGAAGCTGATTCACTTTGTATAAATGATGATAAAACAAAAAGTGTTCAACCCCAACAACCACCGCCACACACCCCCCTGACGAGTCATAAATTAACCCTAACCCTAATGGGTTTGGGCCGGCTAGCTTGGCGGTTTAGTCACCGCCTAAACCTAATATGACTAGGTTTCAGGAAACAGGTAACACCACCTCTATATAAAGAGGTGGTGCCTCTCCCATAATACGGATCTTTTATCTATCTTCTACACCTTCTACACGATACACATCCCTCTCTCTCGATTCTCTTTATTCCCTTGTTGACTTAAGCATCGGAGGGTCTACTCTCGGGAGACACCCGAGGCTCTGTCTTGCAGGTTTTAGGCCGTCCGCCGCCGCCTAGATCATTATTGCCGCCCGTCCTGAGCACCATGTAGATCCATGCTTCGTCAAGTGGCACGTCCGGTGGGACCAATTTATTTGGTCCTTACGACCAAATAAATTTCTTGAAGTGAAGTTGGAATTTTTCGGTGCTTTATGATGTACAACATCAACATCATAATGGCGCAAGGAAAACAACAAACCCCTGCTACTGCCGTTGAAAAAGACAAGCAGGCAACTCCATCAGGGCCATCCTCTAACAGGCCGTCTGGTGGTTTGTTGGATCAAAACCTTATGGAGGCCTTTTTCAAATTTCAACTCGCCTTGTTCAACAAGTTCTAAGATTTTGTGAAGAGTTTTCACGAACTTGACAGCAACCAGCGACAGCACTTGGTCGACAATCTGGATACTTTCTCGAAAGAGGACAACCCTGGGGGCATCTCTCGAGGACATCACCTCGTAACTCGAGAAGAAGCTTATCCCCCTCGAGTGAATGTACCTTCGTCTCAAGTAACCTCCACGATTGAGGAGCAATTGTGCAAGGTTCTCGGATCTGAAGGAGACACGGAGGAAGACGACAGTCCATTCATCCAACGCATCTGAGAAACACCCATGCCCGAGAAGTTTGAACTTCCAGATTTGAAGGCTTACGGAAGAGATATCGATCCTATGGTATTCCTACAAATTTATAAGAATGCAATGAGATTGAGGAATGCTCCTAATGATTTCATGTGCAAGGTGTTTCCTACTTATCTCACGGGGCAAGCACAACTTTGGTTTGGAATGCTGCCTCCGAGGAGTATTCGGTCGTTTCATGACTTGGGAACCTTGTTCCACACAAGGTTCTTCCAAGCAAAGAAGATTGGCAAGACGATTACTGAGCTAATGTCCCTCAAGCAAGATCGAGAAGAATCTATTGGAGCGTATTATAGCCGCTTCACCAAAGAACAACTTCAAGTCGAAGGAGTATCTGAAGAGATGATTGTTGCAACCTTCACCAATGGTCTTTATCCATATGGGGCACCTGCTACTTTGCAACAAAAGCTAACAAAAGAGCAGCCACATACGTTGCAACAACTCTTCTCAGGGGTTGAAACTGAAGTTTGAGCAGAAGAAGATTTACATCGAGCACGAGATAGCTTGCACCCTTATGAGAAGAGGTCGCTCGAGTATAAGGCTAAAGGCCTAGGGGCAGATCGTGACCGAGAACTAGAACACAATCGCGATCGATAAAGAGGCCATGACCAAGCAAAGCGAAAGGCAGATGCTTATACGCCTTTAACTCATCCTCGAGTTGAAATCCTTGAGGTCCATAAGCATGAGTTGAAAGTACCATGTCCCATGTAATAGATCTAAGTAAGCACCCGAGACACTTATGGTGTTCTTTCCATAAAGATCATGGGCATGACATCGAGAATTGCCATGCACTAAATGAGCAAATCGAGGAAGGGCTTGAGAAGGGAAAATTCCGAGAGTATGTGGCTAATCAAG